CAAAAAAGTTTATTCCAATCGTTCAGAATGAATAAAGAAATTCAGCCAAGATCACGTAAGAACAAGAGAGTGAAAAAAGTAAATTTTTTAGCGGGTTCTACGCCATCTTGTTTCACTGGAAAACGAGCGAAAAGTAAACAAAGCAAAGAAAGCAACGAAAACCAAAATTAGCCAAAATTATTGTCAGCCACTTTAAACGCACAATTTAAGTAAAATGATGCAACAAAATGCTTTAAAATGTGTTGTCATGTTGAATTAACTCTTCTTTACTTGAATAAAAGTGGAAAATAGTAGTGCTTGTGATGTAAACAAACGCCNGGTTCATGATTCCATCGTTATATTTTCAACTTATTTTAAACTTGCAAAATTTCGGAGAACACGCATTGTTCGATCATAAGGATATTCCTATAGATTCCTCATTAGAANTGCTTGTGATGTAAACAAACGCCCAGCTGACGAACCCGCTTTCTCAAACTTTTTCTCAAAACCAGTTACAAATACAACGTCGCGTTCTTACGTGATCTTGTATTTTTGGTTCATGATTCCATCGTTATATTTTCAACTTATTTTAAACTTGCAAAATCTCGGAGAACACGCATTGTTCGATCATAAGGATATTCCTATAGATTCCTCATTAGATCCAGAAAACTGTAGGAAAAGATTTTGAATTAAAAGATTCTTCAGGTTCATATAAGTTTCCCTATTAAAAAAAAATTATACNCGATCATAAGGATATTCCTATAGATTCCTCATTAGAACCAGAAAACTGTAGGAAAAGATTTTGAATTAAAAGATTCTTCAGGTTCATATAAGTTTCCCTATTAAAAAAAAAGTATACCTGCATTACTAATACAGCCCTTTTCTAATGCTTCAGTAGAACGTATATTTGGTAGTTTAAAAATGTGTACGACTGACTTGAGGACCAGATTGAGCACTGATATAGTTGCAGCAATATTATATACAAACAAAGGCATAAAAAAACGGTGATACTTTGTTTGAACCGCAAGAACAAATGTACCAATTGAATTGGAAAATGCAACTAATTTTTTTACTAAGTACCTGTAAATAGTATGCAGTACACAATTCTCATATCTGTAATAAGAAAATTTGGAACACCTAAAGAATATTGACCTTTGAGCTAGAGAAAAAAAAATGGGCATGGGCCGCCCCCTTTCCGGATTTTAACGGCATATTTTTTTTTTTTGGTGTAAATTGACAAGGGCGGCGATAGGGGGGCNTACCTGTAAATAGTATGCAGTACACAATTCTCATATCTGTAATAAGAAAATTTGGAACACCTAAAGAATATTGACCTTTGAGCTAGAGAAAAAAAACATTGGGCATGGGCCGCCCCTTTCCGGATTTTAACGGCATATTTTTTTTTNAGTATGCAGTACACAATTCTCATATCTGTAATAAGAAAATTTGGAACACCTAAAGAATATTGACCTTTGAGCTAGAGAAAAAAAAATGGGCATGGGCCGCCCCCTTTCCGGATTTTAACGGCATATTTTTTTTTTTTGGTGTAAATTGACAAGGGCGGCGATAGGGGGGCTAAACGTGGAATTTTCAACATTTTCAAAATCTTATATTTCGAAAACTAGTGAACCGATTTTCTAAGTATGGACACAGTTGGAAAGGTTATTGAGGGGCCTTTCATTCAATATATATATCTATGTATTTAATGCATACACATTGCGAGAAAAGGTAAAAAACGAAATTATGCCAATTTTTTTTATAAAAATGTATGTTTTTCTTTAAAAAGTACGTAATTAACTATATTGGCAGACAAGTTTATCAGAAAGAGCACGAAAATACCGTTAATTTGGTATATGACTTGTAGAAAAAAATTATTGTGGACATCATATTTGACTAAATATATATAAAAATATAGTTTTATATGAAAAAGGAAAAGCGCCGCAGGCGAAAATTTGGAATAAAAACTCGCGCGATAGAAAATTTTACTCTCTTTAGTTTTTACNTACACATTGCGAGAAAAGGTAAAAAACGAAATTATGCCAATTTTTTTTATAAAAATGTATGTTTTTCTTTAAAAAGTACGTAATTAACTATATTAGCAGACAAGTTTATCAGAAAGAGCACGAAAATACCGTTAATTTGATATATGACTTGTAGAAAAAAATTCTTGTGGACATCATATTTGACTAAATATATATAAAAATATAGTTTTATATGAAAAAGGAAAAGCGCCGCAGGCGAAAATTTGGAATAAAAAATCGCGCGATAGAAAATTTTACTCTCTTTAGTTTTTACAAAAATTTAATTAAAATTAAAAAAAAATACTAAAGAAATATATACAAACCATTTTTTAATCACCTTATTTGTTATAAGATTGAGTTGTAGAATTCAATGGATAATTAATCAAGCTACGCTACCCACAGTATTTTTGCGTAGATTTCCTTTTTGCAGAGAACACCTTTCTGCGTAGGCGGCCTTTGGCCGCGCTTAGGGATTATAACCATCACAACGTAGAATTCTCCTTTCTGTGTTGCAATAGAAAAGGGGGCAGAACACCTTTTGCAGATAACACCTTTTTGCGTAGGCGGCCTTTGGCCGCGCTTAGGGATTATAACTCTCACTACGTAGAATTCTTTCTGTGTTGCCAAAGAAAAGGGGCAGAACACCTTTTGCAGAGAACATATAACATTAATAAAGTTGTTTTATTGCACTTCTGGCAGTTGCTGTGACAATATTTTGAAAATCAGTTCAATAGTTTTCAAAATATAAGCTTTTGAAAATTTTGGAAATTTCTTTTTTAACCCCCCCTAGCGNGGATTATAACTCTCACTACGTAGAATTCTTTCTGTGTTGCCAAAGAAAAGGGGCAGAACACCTTTTGCAGAGAACATATAACATTAATAAAGTTGTTTTATTGCACTGCTGGCAGTTGCTGTGACAATATTTTGAAAATCAGTTCAATAGTTTTCAAAATATAAGCTTTTGAAAATTTTGGAAATTTCTTTTTAAACCCCCCCTAGCGCCGCCCCTGTCAATTTACACCCAAAAAAAGTTTACCATTAAACTCAGTAGAAAGGGGTGCACCACGTCCACGTTTTTTTTTCTCTAGCTCAAGGGTCGGTATTCTTTAGGTATGCCGATAATTTTGAGTAATATGTTCGGATTTTGAGGATTTTTCGTTTGGTTTTGACGAATTTGGTAAGATGTTTGTGGCAACACTGCTCCGTTTACCATTTCTAATCGATAATTCGTGCTGATGAATCGATGTTTTGCTCCCAACTATTTTCATGTTTACGCATTTTTATTTTGATCTTTTTTGACGAAGTTATATTTCGCTCGGTCAATAAAAGTCGCTCGAAATTTATTTCGTGTAAATTGGAGCTTTAATAACCAAATAAACACTACAAAATTTTCCAAAAATGAGTTCGGGTGCCATTCGTGCGCCTGTTTCACAGCTCATTCATAACAAGGATGATGATGTTGAGAGCGAAGAGCCAAAGAAGAAATCACGCGAGGATTGGCGTAAAGCCAAAGAGTTGGAAGAAGCGCGAAAAGCAGGTACAGCGCCAGCAGCTGTGGACGAAGAAGGACGAGATATCAATCCGCACATACCACAGTATATTTCCAATGCACCCTGGTACTACAACGCCCAAGGCCCAACTTTAAAACATCAGCGACCGCAAAAAGAGGATGAGCAAGGACAGCTTGAGAAGCGTGCACCCAAAGGCCTAGATATCACGAAAATAGTAACAAAGTACAGAAAAGGTGCCTGCGAAAATTGTGGTGCAATGACGCATAAGAAAAAAGATTGCTTGGAGCGCCCACGCAAAGTATTGGCCAAATATGCCGAGTCAATTGTCGTGCATGACGAGCATGTTGTGCAGGACACAGCAGTCAATTATGATGAGAAGCGTGATCGGTGGAGCTCATATGATCCAGCAAATCATAAAGAAATTATAGATGAATACGAAAAAGTGGAAGAAGCCAAGCGGCAGTTAAAAGCTGAGAAGCTAAAGAATAGTAAGCTATTAAATATTTTCGGCAAATTAAATTGTATTATCCAATTTTTATTTTTCAGATCCCGAAGTAGAACTCTCCGATGATAATGATAATGAGGACAAATATGTGGATGAAGTAGACATGCCTGGTACCAAAGTTGATTCAAAACAGCGCATTACGGTGCGTAATTTGCGTATACGTGAAGATACAGCAAAATATTTGCGTAATTTGGATCCGAACTCGGCATACTACGACCCCAAAACGCGTTCTATGCGTGACAATCCGAATCCAAACATGGCACCGGAAGAGTAAGTGAAGTAAATTAGTTTAAAAAAAGTTATAAGTGTATTTTAAATTTTTATTTAAAGGGTGGAGTTTGCGGGGGAAAATTTTGTGCGATTCTCAGGGGACACTACAAAACACGCTACGGCACAATTGTTCGCTTGGGAGGCGCATGGAAAAGGCGTCGACGTGCATTTACTAGCTGAACCAACAAAATTGGAACTACTGCAAAAAGAGTACGACAAAAAAAAAGAGCAATTCAAGTCCAGTGTGAGTAAAAATGGAATTTTTCCTATTTTTTTTTCAAACGCCTTTTTTTTTTTTATTAGACAAAAGAACACATTGTCGAAAAATACGGAGGCGAAGAGCACTTGAATGCACCTCCAAAATCCTTGCTGTTAGCTCAAACGGAAGAGTACATTGAATACTCCCGGAGTGGCAAGGTCATAAAAGGCATGGAGAAGCCAAAGGCCCGTAGTGTTTATGAAGAAGATGTTATGATCAATAATCATACAACTGTCTGGGGTAGTTACTGGAATGGCGGACGATGGGGTTACAAGTGCTGCAAGTCGTTTATTAAAGTAAATCAATTTCAATTCAGCAATATTTTTTCAACGACGTACATAATATCTTTTGCACTTGCAGAATTCATACTGCATTGGAATGAAAGATCCGGAAACAGCGGTCGATCTTCTACACCCTGTCGCGAGTACTAGTAGTACAATCGAAAACGAGACAGCAGTGAGAGCGTCTGGGGAAGAGGAGCCAAAGGAATCGTCGACGTCGTCGTCCTCATCCTCTTCTTCCTCATCTTCATCATCGTCCTCTTCTTCTTCGTCGTCATCATCGGAAGATGAAGAGGTTAGACAACTTGAAAACAAAAAGGCAAAGAAAAAAACCAAAAAACAGGAAAGGAAACTGAAGGCCAAACAACAAAAGCGAAAAGATAGAAAAGAAAAAATGCTGCGTGCCAAAGAAAAAGCACAATTGGAAGCGGCGCTGCGTGATATACGCGCCAAGTCGAATGAGGAAGACGATCCCAAGGATGAACGCAAACGTGGCTATAATAGCAAGTACGATATTAAAGCACCCACAGAAGAGGAAATCGATGAATGGCAACGCAAACGACAGCGCACCGATGATCCAATGTTGCAGTTTATGTCACAATGAAGTTTTAAGCTATATATTTAATAAGATTCCTATGTTGTGTTATTTAATAAGAACTTTTAATTTTTTCCAACTACCTAGAACTTAATAATTAAACAATGGCGTATTGATCATAAAGTAATTCCCTAATTTTGTAATATTCTTCGGAGAGACAGCCCTCCATTGTTACTTTGCCCGCATCCATGCGCCGCAGTGCCAGAGTACCATTTGCGCACCACAGCACGCCACCTGAAAATTCTGAGCTGATGTTGTTTCGCATGAGCACTTGCTTGAAGTCGGATAGCTTGAGTTCGTTAATTAACACAGCGTTGTGCACCGGTATTTCATCGGTTTCCAAGGTTTCGAGTGTGAGCGTCTTATCCTCGGAAACTACCACGTCCATATTATCAACGTCATTCCGTGAGGTCGTGTCAATAGCTTGCGTTCGCACGCCAATGCGTGCATCCACCCATGCAACCTCGGCATCCTTGCCTTTTTGGAATTGTAGTTGAGCAACGAGTCCCTCGGTTAAGCGGACCTGATAGATGTGAGACTCGGTGGTGGCATCAATAGTCTGCGAAAATGGAATCAAAAGTTAAAATCATATTAGGTGTAATAAAGTTCATGGTTTCAACCTCACCTCTCCCTTCTGTGGAGTAAAAACACGAGCACCTATATTTTGTTGGCAGTGCTGCGCTACAACGCTAGTGGCATCCTCTGTACCATGCACCACGATGACACGTCTGGGACGCAGTTGTGAGAGAATTTTCAGCATCGATTCGCCATCAGAGCGGCCCTCAAAATCAATTCGCTGAATTTGTGCGTTGATTTCAATAGTTTTTCGTTGGCTGGTACATTTTGTAGGCTTCTCTAGCAATTGAACATCTGTGGAAAAATATTAATTTTACTTTGCTCTAATTGAAAAATTTTATTCGCGTAACTACCATTAGTGCTCGCTTTACTCTCCTTCGGCTCCTCTTTCTTTATATTTTCTTTGTTGTGTTCATCTATCGTTGCTTCAAAGCCTACATCCGAAATGCGATAATCTTCCAAATTAATTATTTCACCATATTCATCACATTTTATTTTTTCTTCGTGGAAAGGAAACATGGCATAGTGTTTTTTGTTGGATTTAAAGAATCCGCTGTGATGCCTTCCCTCTGGTCGCACAACGATGTCATGCTTGCCGGTGATGACACTCATTTCAATGTCATCATCAGAATCAGAGCTGCTTTCTTCTTCCACATCCTGCTTGACAATTAGGCGGTTGAGCTTTTCGCCTTGAGTGCGGAGGTATTCTTCTAATTCCGCACCCTCCAGCTCGACGCGGCGGCGAACGTCTAGCTCCAATTTTCTTCCAGGCGAAGCATTCTCTATCAAATCCATCGCTAATGTGCCGTGTGATGTCCTAACACCCACATACATATGTAGGTATTATATACATAAATATTGATTAATGTAGGAATATAATTACTTCTTTTTTTGCGAGCTGNAAGCATTCTCTATCAAATCCATCGCTAATGTGCCGTGTGATGTCCTAACAACCACATACATATGTAGGTATATACATAAACATGTATTAATGTAGGAATATAATTACTTCTTCTTTTTTGCGAGCTATCTTACCTAGATGTCATTATAATACTATTAAGCGGATTTGCCGCCCACTGCACAAACAATTCACGTGTAAACCCGCATTCCAAGTCTGGTGTGCTGGCAAGCACTACCTTAGGACTAGGCATTTTGGAGAGCTCCGCCAAATTGTGACATAGCTGCATATGACGGAATTGAAATGGATTGTTGCGTGCCCCTTCGAAAGTCTTCATTAGCTTATCGCTCATCCATTCAATTTGGGATTTCGCAAATTCGATCACGTTGTAACTAACGTTATTCAACATAGCCAGAGAGTATGCCATCAAACCAGACTCCTTGTTTTTCCAAAGTTGATCGAGCATGTGTGCCAACTCCAGCACTCGACCCGCTGTATCAACCGCAATCAGCACATTGCCATTATTGCGTACCGTCTGGAGAATATTGGTCATCAGCTTTTCATCGCGTGCACGACGTCGCGCCTGTTGATATTGTGCATTGTAGGCGTCGGTGATTAGAAGTGAAGGACGCTGGAGACGCTCCAGTTCACAACCATTAAGATGACGTTCTTTTTTATGATTGAAATCTGTGGCATATACAATATCTTCTTCGCCCACTTTGAGAATTTTCCAAATAGTACCGCCTATCATATGCCCCGCAGGAAGTGGAGTTACTGTGATGCCGTAGCCTTTGCCTAAAATGTGATGCAAAAAGGTATGTTTTATTAACATATATAAGTGTGTATATTCTATCCGTAATGAAATTAATTAGCATAACTCACCTTTTAGTGACACTGTTTGATTGTATTTAAGTTGTATAATTTTGTCGAATGCTGCATCCACATCATCTAATGAAAATAAATCGAAATCGTACATGTTATAATGCGACATATAAAGGTCGTACATAAACATTTGTCCCATTTTATACACTGGGATCGTAGCGTAGATTGGGCAATTCATGCTGAGTTTTCCAACGAGATAGGGTAGCGCACCCAAATGGTATACATCTGGATGTGACAAAAGCACTGCGTCGATGGTATGTACATGTCTGTGAACAATTAAAGATTGCTTTTTTTTTGATGTTTTATATATACCCATCCTGATTACTACCTTTTTAACTCCTTGATAAGATTGGGATCGAACTTCTCGTCCCACCCACAGTCGAGTAGAATCCGCACTTCGTCTATTTGCAGAATATAGCAGGGAGGCGATTCATCCATGGCACCAGATATTGTGTGCAGTTTTATTATCGACGTCATCGCGTTATAACTTAATTTAATATTGCGACCGTTTTTGTTATTTGGTAGAAACTCTTATTTCAATCGGCCGGCTGGAACTTGTGCGCGTTCCTTGATGTACCCTGATTTCTTAAAAAATTAGGTGCATATTTGTTAATTTTTTATTTTAAGAGTTGGCAACCTAGTGCAACAGCTGTCGGTTGCTATAATAACTACGAAGGTACACGATCAAGAACTTAAGGCGGATATCTATAGCATGCGTATGCTTTTGTGTGCGTGTGACAAAAAATTTAATAAAAAATTTTAAGGTAGCACCAAAGAACGTAGCTTTACGTGACATTTATAACTTTGCCAGCAAATCCCCAGACGCAAAAGGTATGTCACAATGAACGCCAAGAAAACAATTTTGTACTGCTTTTTTACTCGTCAAAATTGCTGTGGATTTTATGTGGTTTTTGTTTTAAATATCAGCAATGGCCCGTAGTCATAATAAAAAAATAAAGTCGACTTTAAAGTTAGTTGCAGCTTTTTGACATAATTTTCAATGGGATATCTGTCAAAAAAGCTGCAACTAGCTTTAAAGTCGACTTTATTTTGACTATGACTACGGGCCAATGTAATTAAGTTTTATGTTTCTACGTGAAAACTCAAATTTAGACGAAACGAAATAAGTACTAATCCGGCTGATTGTCAAAGCGCACAAAAATATAGGAATTGGCCTTCTTTTCGCTTCGCGCTGAAGCTTCGACGATCTATGTGGCATGCTTTGTGCATTTTCATACAATTCATCTTATCTGTCAAAGCGAATCTGTCACGTAAAGCGAAGCAAAAGTTTTATGCGGCAGCAGCTTCAAACGGAGAAAGCTTTGAGCCACATGTACGTTTCGCGCATGCGCAGGTTTTCCATGTATTAGTATCAATGAATCTGTGTTGCCACAAAAAAGATACCAAATTCCTCAAAAACAAATGAAAAATCCTCGAAACCGAACAAATTACTCAAAATTTTCTTATTACAGATATGAGTTTTGTGTACTACATACTATTTACAGGTACTTAACGCCTAATTCTGTGTTTTCTTGATACATTTTTTGTAGAGAAATTTTATCAAGATTTTTATCAAGTGAAAGCTCCCTTCGCATTCTGTGTCAATATTTATAAAACAAAAAGCTCTACGATTTCCACATGAGTGGAACTGATTTCCACATGAGTGGATCTGATTTCATTGTCACATATGAAAAATATGAATTTAAAAGCGAAAAAAATTTTGATTGCCGTAGCCGAGTAGGTAGAGATGTCGACTATAATTCCATGTATCGCAGGTTCAAATGCCGGCACATGGAGTATTTAATTGTTAGAAACAAATTTATTAATATATTTAATTTATACATTCCACATGAAATTTCAATTTGTCAATAGCATTTTCAATCTTGTAATTTATCAAGAAAAGAGCTTTTGTTTCTGTGCTAGAATACCAATTCTTGATAAATAATAAAAAAATTGACAAATTATAAGATTTTCAATTTATAACATTCTCCAATCATTTGGTACTTTTCTTCTTGGGGCTCAAACAAAGTATCACCGCAAAGTATAAGTATTTTATATGCCTTGGTTTGTATATAATATTGCTGCTACTATATCAGTGCTCAATCATGTCCTAAAGTCAGTCCTTCACATTTTTAAACTACTAAATATACGTTCTACTGAAGCATTAGAAAAGGGCTCGATTAGAAATGCATATATATATATTTTTTAATTTTAAAACTTGTATGAACCTTAAGAGTCTTTTAATCCAAGAACTTGTTTATTATATTTTTATTATTAATGAAGAATCAATATGAATATCCTGCAAGTTGAAAATAGGTTTGTTCCTCATGAGCACGCGGGTACCCGCGTGTGCCCAAAACAGCCCAGAAAGGGTTCCTTACGCTGGAAAAATGGGTAGTATAGCATGAACCAAAAATAGTCTTTCGTTCATGGTAATATAGAGTGAATACGTTCCACTTTTAGATCGTAAAAGTCTTCTTCTTTGTGCACGAAACAGCCCGGACTATTTTTTCGGGCACAAACGTGCAAAAGGGCAATTAGAATTACACCTGTTGTTGTTCAAATCTGAAAGCAAATTTCATAAAAAGGAAAAGTGGAAAATATCACAGAATTTTCAGAAAATGTAGTTATTTAGTAACTTTATTAGCCAGATAAGATAAATACACGTAAACTCATTGTTTAGAGCTGATATGTTGATCCCGGGCACGAAATCTGGTTTTTTGCGTTCCTCACGCAATTTTGGCACTTGTTGGCACATTTTTGACGCTTGTGAGAGAGTAATTTATTTTTACGATCAAATTATCGAAGCGTGGGGAACAAAGCTAATATAACGAAGGAATGGAAAAAATTATCGATAACATTTTGGATATTTAGCAGCAAATCGTCTCAGAAAACGGATAACGAATGTTACAAAACACGGTTTTGAGAAAATTGACTTTGAAGTTTAAGGTCGAATTAATCCGAAACTTTGCGGTAGAATTTTGTAATTTTTGAAGGAGACGTAGTTGGTGTTATTAGTTTTGATTTTCCATATTTTTACATTTAATATCTGTTAAAGTTAAAGAAAATTGACTTTTCATTCCGTACACATTTGTCGTAAGTAGCGTTTACTCACCATTTTGTTTTGTCCATAGAACATATGACAATACTAAAGCATCTATTTCAACGACGATGGTATAATTTGATGAAAAAACCAGACATATTTATTAAATAATGATTACTTATTAGAAAAAACATAACAAAAACATATTCATGTATTTAATAAAAAAATCTGTACATCTCTTATGCTGTAAATATGTTACGAACATACGTTTTCCTTATATAAAAACAAAAAACAATACTTAAATTCAGCCTTTTGTACATTTTGATTTCTTTCATTTCATTGGAGACTCAGTGCAAGCTAAAATTTAAAAATGTAAAATTTTAAAATTAGTTCCTCAGTTTAATTTCCAATTTTAATTGTGTCGTTATAGTAGAGGACCATCGAATTGTCGTAAGTTCAACGTTTTGCGATACATACGACAAATGTTTTCAGATTAAAAAAAGATTACATATGTATGGGAATTTGTCGTATGTGCCCCATACGACAAATGTTTTATGATTTAAAAATAAGTACGTTTGTATGGGAATTTGTCGTATGTGACGCATTTTCGGCACATACAACAAAAGGCATACCCAATCATTAATATTATGCAACATACGACAAAATGCGCACAAAATATCTCAAAAACTAAGGGAGATATAAAAAATGGATTGCATAAATAAAAAGAGCATGTCCAACTTAGTAAATCTGCATCAAAACCCCACGTGATTTTGCACATTCGTCATCCGTTTTCGAAATATGCTTTCGCTTAAAGCTACTTACGTTGTGTATGGGGGTGCTTGAAGGGTTGACAAGCCATGTGAGGGAAATGTGAATAAAACTCAAAATTTTTTGATTTTCTGGCCGCCATGTTGACGTTTGATCACACCATCAAACCGTTTACGTTGTGTATGGTAAAATCGAAGAAAACCAAACTCTTTACATTGGCTGCGTCTTTTTATACATTCCGGATAATCCCATTTCACAGCCGGAACAAACAGAATACGTTTGAAATATATGTTAACATATCATCAGGAACATTCTAAAGAATAAGTAAACAATTCCAAACGTTCAGAATGAATAAAGAAATGCCGCCATTGTGAACCGGAAGAAAACTTAAATTCTTTGCTTGAAGGAGTCATATTTGTATGGTGTATGGCGAAATGGGAATAGTAGGTTTGCAGAATGTTTGAAAGATGATTGTGCGGTGTATTTCGCTCTTTATAA